CATCTGGCAGTCTCCGGCCACCTAAATTAGGACCCGGAGACTGCCAGATGACCCTGTTCGGAGCGCCGCCCACCGGAGCAGCAGTGACGCGACGCTCGGCGAGGTAAGTAAGAAGAAGAAAAAAAAACATAGCGCAAGCTTTGGCGCTAGGCATCGGGGCATTTTGACAAGTACAAGTACTTGTCAAAATGCCCTGTATCTGGCCCGATTCCGATGCTGGTATCGGGACATCCTAGTTGAAGTATTAACAGCTCCAGGGTTTCCATAAACCTTATAGTAGAAAATTGATTCCCTTTAGCAGCAAGGAAATCTTAAGTAGGAGCTGATTTAAATTAGTGATATATTAACATGCAAGTATTTATCAACCATATTTTAATTGAATAGAAAAAGTATAAACGTATAAATCACACAGAACGGACATTTAAAATCTTAAAAACTTTTGAGAGACTTCACTGTAGCAGCTTAGTATGCATCAATATACGGTGGCAACCATTTGTTATAGTTACCCTCCGTGTATCGGATACTAAAAAGTATCTAATGTTATTGTATCCTGTATAAGGGAAACAGTCACTCTTTATGATATTGTTTCAGTAGCAATCCAGACGGGTTCCACAGCCAGTTTGCAGATTAAAGGAGAACTATGGGGTCAGTGTTTTTCCCCATAGTTCTCCTTAGGGTAACGGGAGGACACAAACTAGCGTCACCCTAGCGTTACCCTAAGCTCAGTATACCGCGAGCTACAGCTCGCGGTATACTAAGACGCTGCAGCCGGAGCGGATCCCGACGTAGATGACAGGATCCGCCCAGCTGCGTGAGTGACAGCTGGCTCTGCCTATCTAGAGGCAGAGCCAGCTGTACCCTCCCCCGTCCGTTCCGTCAGTCAGCGCTGGCAGATCGGAGAGGGCAATCCAGCCCTCCCCCTGTCACGGCAGAGAGCCGTGACAGGACCGAGAGGTGAGCAAACCTGGTATGTGTTGGCTCAACTCCCGATCTACTGAGCCGACCTGTGACAGTCTCATTGTCACAGGTCGGCTAGAACTATGAGGTGAGTGGTAATCACTCATCTCATAGTTCTCCTTT